TAACATGGGTACATATCCTAAACTAGTCCTCAATTAGGACTATTCCTACTCTAGAGAATTCGGTCTAATTTATATTAGGCAGACCGGGTCTCAAGAGTGTCAGCGGCGCGTCACTTATTTCGACCTATCAGAGTAGATCGTCATCTTTCACCGAATTGTGACCTGACCGTTAGCTCAGTGGCCATGGTCTCGGAACGCTGTCAAAACCCGACACCACAACTGCCCCCAGCACGTCGAGAACCTGCGCAACTTGTGACCGTCGCGCTGCCACACATCTCCACCGTGATTTCCCCGTTGTCTCGCGCCTTAAACCAGGCTACCGCGGCGTTCACTCATGAGCTCGCTGCTCATTCTCTGGTGAGCACCACAGATACCCTTGCACTTGTCTTTGTCTTGCCGTTGCTCACGCTTAATCCTCTCTGCTTACTGCCCCTGCAGCCCTCAACTCCTTTTTCCCACTGAGGAGCCCTCGACGAGGGAAACATCCATCGAGTCGTTAGCTCCAGAGCATGGGATGGAGTAGTCGGACAGTCCTCCTCCCGACTCTCCTGGGTCACCTGTGACCCCGCTCAGCTTGCCACCATCCCCCACACTTTCGGAACTTAGCGCCGACTCCATCCAGTGACCAATTACCGCGCCGGCGGTGGATTCGGCAACTTCCGGCACCACTGGAGGATGTCTGGCTGTTGTTACACCTTTGATACCCAGCGCTGACTCTACCCAGTGGCCAACTCTCGCGCCGGCAGTGGATTTGGCAACTCGCGGGGCCATTGGAGGACGTCTAGCTGCTGCACTGGTCCCAGGTGTGTCCATCGAGGTTACTGCGTCGGCCGGACTTGAGCTTAAGTTCGCCGAGCTGGATCGTCTGATGGTGTCCTTGGCTCGGCAACCGCCACGCCGGGTCGACATTCCTTTGGATCGGCGGCTGGAGGAGGCTACTAGCCTCAGCGAAGTCTTGTCTGCGGCGCTTCCCCCTCGTCGAGTCGACCTTACCGAGTCCGAACTCGTAGTGGGTCTACGCAATGAGGTCACCCGGCTCACTGCGGCTCTGAAGGACGCCGAAGACACAATCGCTGAGCAGGTGGAACGTGAGGAGATAGCTGAAGTCTTTTGTGTTCAAGCTTCCAACGAAGCTAATGATTTGGACTCTATGTTGCGCAAGGAGCGGTAAGACTTTGGCCTTATGAACAAGCGTCTTCACGTGGCACAGGGAGCTATATCTCACCACGCCGAAATTCTGGATTCAATCAAGAAGCGACTGTCAGCTGCCGAATGCGAGTCTGCTACCTCGCTGCACTTGCTCCGAGTCGAACGCAAGTGGTTCAAGGCTGGTCTCGTCGGCTACACCGCCCAAGCGAAGGAACTGAATCACCGACTAATGGAGGCGGTGTCGACTCCTGGGGAGAAATACCCGATCCGCCTCCTCGCTAGGTCGCCAGCCTCAAGAGGGCCAACTCGATTCTTCGGCAGCACTCGCCGAACCATGGGCTGGATACGGACTCGCTAGTGTTGGCCGCTGCTGGTATCTTCGCTGGTGATATCGACTGTAAACTCATCGGTCTCGGTCCTACTCAGACCAGTCTTAAACGAGGTCGTGACTTTGACCGAGAGGACTCTTCTGGCGACTCGTCCGATGCTGGGTCCGAGCCTAGCGGGGTCTCGATCGTCACGCCACCGGCCGCATCAGCTGCATCGAGTGAGTCCAAGCGTCAACGCCTTCGCTCCCCCACCTCGGCGAAATAAACTGGTCCCTCTCGCGTTGGTCGGCCATCCGTCGATCTCCGAGCTCGTGCCGCCAAGACAGCGACCGACAAGGCTGGGGCTGACAAGGCTGCGACTGAGAAGGCTTCTGCCGCTCAAACGACCTCTTCCAAGGAGGCCACGTCCGACAAAACGGCTGCCTAGAAGAAGGCTGCGGAGAAGGGGGCTGCCCGCAAAGCTGCCAAGAGAGCTGCTGCAGCAGAGAAAGCAGCTTCCGAGAAGGCTGCCGCCGAGAAGATTCGAGACGAGGCTGCTGTGAGGCTGCTGGTCAAGCTGCTAAGAAGGCTGCAGCCGAGAAAGCTGCTGCTGAGGAAGATGTTCGGCTGAGGCTGCACGTGAAGAAGCTTCTCGCGCCGAAGCTGCTGAGAAGACCTTGGCCGGAGCTACGGCTGCTGAGAAAGCAGCGTCCGAGGCAGCTAAAACCATGGCTGCGGCTGCGAGAGTTCAAGTAGCGGTCGCCGAGGCGACGCTTGCTCTGGCTGCGGCCGCCAAAGCTCGGGCTGAAACGGCGAAGTCTGGCCTGACTTCAGCCAAGAGTTCTAATTCGGGTCCTCCCGTCACCACACCCGTTCCGATTTCGAGTTCTGGGCTAGAGGTATTGTTGTTGACTGCGACTCCCTCGCCCGATCCACCATTCACATCATTATCTGGTCTTGTCCGCGGTGACAATGGAGTGACTCATACCGGTCTGTCTGGTGCAGCTTTCGAGTTCAGTTGTCCGTCGGCTCCTACAAGCTCGACCGAAGTGGTCGACTTGTCATCTGACGATCCAAGCACAGAGCGATTCCTGGAACTATCCAGTTCATTTTCTTCTCCGATTGTGAGCGTCCCGCGTCGTGATGGGCGTCCTACCCGCACGACTTCGGTAACTTCGGACCTCCGGGTCAAGCACACGCTGGAGCAGGAGTTGGCGACAGACGAGCTCGTCCTCGGTCTCGCGACCGATCGTCCTCGGCGGCGAACAACAATTCACTGCCATCGAGCACCAAGCCACGGCCGAAGAGTGCTGGTAGCGTCTCCCTGCCTCCTTCCAGCTCCTCGGTCACTGGTGTTCCGTTGTCTGGCGTCGCTGGTCGTTCCTCTCGCCATCAGTCCAGCCGAAGCAAACCGTGGTTACGGCTACGCTGTCTACTACCCCTGGTTCCGATTTGGCTTCGTTCACTCCGGCGAACGACCCTTTGGTGTTGGCTCGGAACTCCAAGAAACTGGTTTCGGTGGCTGGTCCTTATCTCGAGCCTGGGTTCACACATCCTGGCGCGCGGGTGGCTTGGTGCCAGATCTGTAACCAGAGTTTGCCCGCGCCGCTTCCGATGACGCTGGAGGATCCTTGCTCGGTTGCCGGCATCAAAGCTTTTGCGGACAGCGTCAATCCTAGCCACCCCTTTCAACAGCACCGCCAGAAATTTCCCGACGAGCCCTGCACTTTCGACCTCGGCGAATACGGCGATGATGTCAAGATCTCAGTGCGTGACGTGGGCCTAGGTCTGGATGTTCGCATGGGGCGTCAATTCCAAGGCACGTCCACTGAAAAGACCGAGAAAGCAGATCTCCCTACGATATCTGGCAATCCTCATGGCTTGGCGCGAGTATAACAAGACTCGGAACGCCGTCGCTGACCGTCTTCGCTGGCAGATGCCCCGCAAGGTGTGGAAATGGTGCGTCGAAACCGACCATGAGCCTCGCCGTTGTCCTGCAGAACGTCTGTTGGAGCCCACTTATATCCAATATTCGTTCGAAGTTATCGAGTGTGTGCCGACTACCGACGACTGGGTGGTAGATGTTGCGAAGTTGGACCAGCAGCAGCTTTGGCGTAATTGTTGGGTCGATGCTCCTTTCGGGCACCACTACAACACCACTGACGCTCCGTGTAACGCTGATGTGCCCCTGTTCGTTCCGCGCGGGATGACTGCCGAAAACGTTGTGTCGGCTATCGTCCCTCATCCCTCACTCCGAAGCGAAGACCTCGTTGCCCCATGGTTGTCTGGAGTTGCGCAGATGCTTTGCCGACAGGTTGCCCCGTATACTGATGTAGTTGTTTCGTCTTGTTCGCGACAGACGACAGATAATCAGCTCGGGGACTTATTTCATCTGTGTAGTATCTTTTATCGTCTACTACCACGGGATACATCATCCCGTGGGCAGTTCACTCTTCGGTCGGTGTTGATATAGTTTTCGTCCGCCACTTGTATCATTTGTAATCGCTGATCACCTCTTTTTCTGCGGAGGAAATCATAGAGGAGACCTCCACACGGCAAGTTGTTGGAGGGTTCCCAAGTTGACTCGATGTACCCTTTCCACTTCACCTTGAATTCTCAGACCGCCCGCTCTGTCCTTGTGGTCATCGGTGTTCGGTCATCAAGGATAGCTTCGAACTAGGGTTCGCCTGCAAGCCGATCTGGTTCCCAGCTATCGTCAGATAAGAGTTCTTCATCGAAATCCAAACGTAAGCCCCCCGTGGCCTCGATGATTAATTTTACATCTGGTCTGCCTTCGTACTCACCTCCTGCCTTGAGTCTCGACACATGCACCACCGGGTAAACCGATAACCACTCGATCAGGGAGCTCGAGCTCATAGGCAAACTCTTCTACCGTTTTCTTGATGCGGAAAGAACCATGCCATGCCATCTGTAAGCAAGTTTATTTGTCAATCCTGGCTTGCCTCGGTCCATGTACAACCAAACCAGCGCCGCCGGCTGGAAGAGGGACTTCGGTGCCTCTGCTGGAGAATTGTCCTCTGACTCATCCGTTGTGTCATTGTTCGGTAGGCTTCTTTTCTCTCTGCTGTTTAGTGACGCAATGTGTTTGAGCGCTCGCCGAGCCTTTTCGATCGCCTTAGCCATTCTGACAGCTATTTCATGTTGTCGGTTCACTTTTCGTCGCCATTTAAGGGCATCGGACTGGCGTCCGTTTCCTTGTTTAAGCGACGATGTCATTGCTCTCAGCGTCGAATGTGCATCCCATTCGTGGACTAGGTAGAAAGGTGTCTCCTTCCGCGTAGCATCGGTGGAGTTGATAATCGCAAATATCAACTTCTCTGTGATCTCATCCCAATCTTGTTGCAAGGGATCTTCGGCATACATCCGGACCGACTGCATGACGTTTTTCACTGACCGCTCTTGTTGCCCGTTAGCTTGTGATCCGTAACTTAGTGTAGTTCTTGACCTCGAATGTATCATCTCCGCGAACGCTTGAAACACTTCGCTCATGAAACGGGGTCTCGATCATGTCTGACCAACGACGGTGCACCGAACATTCGGTAGACACACTCTTCAAACACCTGTGCAACACGGAGCGCTGTCGTGTCTGCCATCGCTTTCCCCATGACGAAACCAGTGATAGCGCATTGGAAGAGCAACAGGGCGGTGTTCCCGCGTCGAGACTTCGGTAACGGTATAACGAAATCCATGGAGACAATTTGGAATGGTCTCTCTGCTAACACATTGTCCGGCGAGTACCCTTGATGTTGTGGGCGACTCTTGCTGGAACTACAATCCGGGCCGGACCGCACATGTCGCTCTACGTCGGCATACAGCCCTATCCAGTAGTAATCCCTTCTAGTTTTGTCGTAAGTCCGCACGATGCCTTGGTGGCCTCCTTCCAGGGAATCATGACAAATTCTGTAACACTTCCTGAATCATCGTCGTTGGGACGACTAGTCGTAGTGTCGTATTGTTTGTTTTCTGACCACCTTCGTGGCGGTTTGCTCCTTCGTAGAACAGTATGCCATCTTCATATAGTACGAACTTCTCGGACATCTTCCACGCATCGCGTGCTGCCTTGTAGCTTAATTTCGCCTCATCATCTTGCAGTACTGCTTTGAGGTTGTGCCATCTCAGTTCCTCGTTCTGTGCTACTGCGATTCGTCTCCGGCGTTCGCATTGGACTTCTAACGGGCTATGTCATCTGCTGTTGCTGGTGTCAGCGTGTCCAGGGTAACGCCCGTTGGAGTTATTTCCTCCGTTTCTGTCGTCCCCGGGACTTAGGTGGGGTACCGTTGGTTTTCTCCCGTAGTGCCTCTCGTGCTGGTCTCCCTCCGAGGCTTGGTCGGCAAACCCGACCCTTTTCTCCTTCGACTTTGCTTGTCTTCTTGTTGTTATCGTTACGAATTTGGCTCGCTTCGCACAAAATCAAAAAAAGATTTGGGACGGGGCGTGTCCCGCTCCTTGTATCGTACTTGAGACTGGATTGTATCGACCGATGATACTCGTGAGTTGAGTTGCTGGCCTGCTGTTCGTAGATGACTTCCTGAATTCAATTTAGCTCGGTGAGTTCGGTCAATCTCTCTTCGGCCTCTATCACTTTCGACGTTTTGCTCTTGTGGTGAAGTGGATCAAGATTTTCACGTGAATAAGACCAAGTGA